TGGGACCTGCACTTGCATGGGAGACTTGGAAGAAGCTCCTGGCTTTGGATTGGCTCAGCTCTGGCCATTGTGGCCAGTTGGGGAGTGAACCAGGGGATGGAAAATCTTTGTCTCTCCTTCTCTCTGTAGATCTGACTTTCCAACAAAAATAAGTAAATCTTAAGAAAAGAACTAAGAGTTAGAACTAAGAGTTAGTTGTATCTCTGCCACCCTAAGGAGAGCCAAAGTTCAAAGTTTACATATTAACACATATTAGCTCATTTATTTGTTTCTATACTCATACAATGGTACTTTAAAAAGTTCATGGAAAATGAAACTAAAAAATGTTTTTTCCATGCCAAAAATATTTGAAATTCATGCTGCTTTTTCATAAGATATTTTCTGTGAACATATTAAAGACCTTAATATGCACAGATTTCAGCATAAACTTGTCTTTTTCATTCCATTTTTCCAAAAACTTTTTGAAGTGTCTTAGTACAAGTTTATAAAAATGTAAGAATGTATATGAGCACTGTAGCTTAGGCATTTCAAAAATATTCTTAATTATTATTTTAAAACATGTTTGGTTCCCACAACATATTGCACTTCTAAGAAACACAACAAATCTGCCATGAGTTTCTTACTATTAGTTGGTTTTTGAAAGGCACTTTTTAAAAAACTTGTTTGTTCATCAGTGTTTATATTGTTTTCCTTATGATTCCTGTTTCAGAAGTACAGTTGCTGGGTCAAAGGAATTTTTGGGGAAAACTGCAAGGAGTAGCTCCGCCTAGGAAAAGTTTGAGGGCTGCCTTCTGAATTAAAAGCAACTGCCCTTGAGCTTCTGGAGGAGCTTATCAGGACATGGTTGTACCTGAAGATCAGATGGGGCACACCTGCACACCTCAGAGTATGGCTGAAGGCTGTGTGATGCTTTTCTGTTTGTTCCATTTTCATATGAGAGATCACAATAGATAGACATAGAAGGAGAGGAAAAGAGAGAAACTGAGAGAATGCTAGTTCTCATCATTTGGTTCGTTTTCCAGATGTTCTCAACAGTATGAGCAGGGCAGAACTGGGAGCCTGGAACTCAATCCTGGAGTGAGAGTGAGAGTGGTGGGAACCCAGTTAATTGAGCCCTCACCTTCTCCGCTCAGCATCAACACTAGTGGCAAGAAGCTAAAGAGAGGTAACAGGCTCAGGTCTGTGCTATAGGGCATGAGTATCCCAGCCACAGGCTTAACTGCCAAATGCCCACCTTCAAGGATAACCTTCTGAAGCCTAGTTAATTACAGCTTTCTTAAAAAATCTTACAGGGTCTCAGAGTCCACCTGAAGTCTTGGTTGGGGGTTGGTGTGTGTTTTGGAAGGAGATTTTTTATCACTATCATTGGTTTCTGTTAACTGTTAGATTGCTTGTGACCCCTTACCTCCTCCTTAAGGGAAAAAAATTTATTATTCCAATTTATTCAGTTCCTTAATAAAGGAAAAAGATAAAAGGAAGAAAAAAACTGCAATAGTGGCCTCAGTTATTACAGCATTTATACAGCAACCCTTGAATCCTTTCTGAGTGCTGAGAGCTCTGTGCCTGAGGAATTCCAGAACAGTCAGCAGCAGGGTTCTAATGAGAAATATTTCCAGGCTGGAAGAAGCTCCTGGCTCCTGGCTTTGGATCAGCTCAGCTCCAGCCATTGAGGTCAGTTTTGGAGTGAATCATTGGAATGAAGAACTTCCTCTTTTTCCTCCTCTCTCTGTATCTGACTTTGAAATAAACAACAACAACAACAAAAAAAAAAAAAAAAAAAACAAAGAAAAAAGAAATATTTCCAGGGACCAGCATTGTGGTATAGCAAGTTAAGCTGCTGCTTGAAATGCTAATATTTCATATGAACATAGGTTCATGTCTCAGCTACTCCACTTCCAATTGAGTTCCCTGCTATTATACTTGGGTAAGCATCAGAAGATGGCCCAAGTGCTTGGATCCCTGCCACTCACATGGGAGACCCGTATGGAATTTCAGGCTCCTGGCTTGGACCTGATCCAGTCCCAGCTGTCAGAACCATTGGGGAATAAATCAGCAGAGGAAATATTTCTGTATGTCTCCATCTCTTTTCAAGAAAATTGTGCACATAGAGGCCAGCACTGTGATACAGCATTAGGCACGCTGTGACACAGCATTGGTTGCCACTGTGAGTTTCAGCTGCTCCACGTCTAATCCGGCTCCCTGTTAATGTGCCTGGGAAGGCAGTAGAGGATGGACCAAGTGATTGGGACTCTACACTAATGTGGGAGACTCAGAGGAAGCTCCTGAAGCTGGTTGTTGCAGTCATTTGGGGAGTGAACTGGTAGATTGGCGGACAGAAGATATCTCTCTCATTCTGTCTGTAACTCTGCCTCTCAGATAAATGCATATTTTTCTTTTTAATTTTACACATAGAGCCACATGTATAAGCCTACCTTGGTAAACACTGAAAACATTTCCAGCCCTCTAGCCGGGCTCCCTTTGCCAATCAGTATGTCCCTTTTCCCTTGACCGTTGGCTGACTTCAGTAAGGATTGCCAGTGTTTATCTTGAAAGAAACAAAATTCATGTATATGTGTATATATGAATGTGTATGTATGTTTAAGATTTATTTATTTGAGAGGCAAAGTGAGAGATCTTCCTCTGCTAGTACTCAAATGGCCACAAGAGCCAGGGCTTGTCCAGGCCAAAACCAGGAGCCAGGAGTTCCGTCATGGTCTCCCATGTGGGTGAGTGTTAGGGACCCAAATACATCATCTTCTGCTGCTTTCCTAGGCATTATCAGAGAGCTGGATTTATGCATCTTTTGTTTGTTTCTTTGTTTAACTTGAAAGTTAGAAAACTTTCAAATTTTCTGGTGCCACAACAGTGGTGTGGTAAGCTAATCCTCTACCTGTAGTGCCAGTATGCTGTATGGGCACTGGTTCAAGTCCTGCTGGCTACACTTCCAATCCAGCTCCTTGCTAGTGGCCTGGATCCAAGTCCTTGGAGTCCTTGAGTCCCTGTACCCGTGTGGGGGACCCGGAAGAAGCTCCTAGCTCCTGGCCTATGACAGGCCCAGCTCCAGTCATTGCAGTCATTTGGAGAGTGAAGCAGCGTATATAAAGTCAGTCTCTCTCTCGCTCTCTTGCTCTTGCTGCCTTTCAAATAGAAATAACATTCCTTTTCAGAATTCCTGCTGATGTGTTGTTATGGTAACAAAAGCAACCAACTTTTGTCCTGTATTTCAGGTATACATTTTTGCTATTTTAAAATGTATTTAGCAACAGAAGTTCTCTTGGTCCGTATTCGAGAAAATGTTGGCCCTGTCAGTCCACCCTGAGTACACCTTGACTCTTTGAAGATTCAGTGACATTTCTGCCATGCACAGGGGAGGGGCCAATGAGCTGCTGCGTGTTCTCTGCAGCCAAGTGCAGAAGCTGTTCCATTTAGAAAAGTGGAGAGGAACGCACAGTGTTAGCTCTTCCAGGGAAAGCACAAAAGCACTGACTGGGAATTAAGTACATACATCTATCAAGCCCATAAGTCTTAGCTCCAGTTAATATATAATAAAATATTAAACAAAGCCAAATCAAATGAGTTTTTAGGTTTGCTGTGTAAGTGGAAAGCAATTTTGAGGTCTGTTGCATAAAAAATTCCAGTTCCGTGGTAGAGTAGCAAATAAATGGGATTGGGGACGGTGGAGGAATAAACCACTCATTGTTATCTCTCAGCTGTCAGCTGTGGCTCCTCAAGGCCAGCAGAGTGACTTCTCCAGGTTTCCTAACAGGTGGATTTCAAAATCTGTTTTCAGAAATGAACTTGTGTTAAGATCAGTGAGTAAATGTGTAGGCTTTGTCCTGTGCTGTGAGCAATTTGTGGTAACTAACAGTAAGGCCCTGTAATCGTCCCATATTGGTTTTTACTTAATAAAATATTTAATCATAAATGTCTGGATTCTGCATCTCCCACAGGAAGGCATTTCCATGCCCACTGACAAGAATAATTTAGCAGTTTCATAGTTGAGCGCTTAATTACTCATAATTGTGAAGGGTAAGATGTGATGAATTCTTCCTTGACGGACATACTAAATATTTTAACTAAGTAGATGACTTAAAGTAAATTAAGCTAGTGAGATCATTCATTACATTGGTTAAAAGCAATTTGAAAAATACATCATATGCCATTAGAAGATAGTAAGGGTGAAGATTACTTTTGTCATGCAGCTGGAGGCTGCCCTTTTGGGATGCCTAGTCAGTGGGAAGAGAAAGGGATTGGGAGACGGGATTAAGCTTTTGGTGATTTTTTTTTTTTTTTTTTTGCCATTGTGCTGTTTTGCCTCAGTCCCTAGAGGATCCTCAGGTATGCATATGTGGAGGTGGTGATCACAGCCATTAGAACTCTTCAGACCCTTTGGCTTGGCATAAGCATCACATATCGCATCTGTCCCGTGTCAGGGTCGGGTATCAAAGCCTTGCCCATGAAGCCTGTGGGTGTGCACTGTAAGGAAGATGGCGGGCTTGTAGAGCAGTGTTGTATTTCTGAATTACAGAGAAATGTAGATGTGAGAGGAGAGGAAAGAGGAATTCAGCTGTTCCAGGAGTCAGCTTACCATGTCAGAGCAGCAGCGTGGAGTGTGGTAAAGGGCTCCGGAGCCTCCTGCTTACCATTGGGCAAAGGGGAAACAGCTCGTCTCATTAAATTAAGCTTCTTCCCCTTGGTGCCTTGTTTGGTTTCAGTTCTCTTAATTCCCTGTCCCTGGTGGTTTGAGTAAAGTGTTTGAAACCACTAAAGGTAAAAGGTTGAAGCAGTTCCAAATTTAATCATCTATCACCTTTCTTTAGTGTATCTGAATGTAATTCCCAGCAGTTCTCTGTGAATTCATTAGAAGACAGCAAGTCATTAAAAGTTAATAAGAAACTATTTGTTTCTGTGTGTGAATAAAACACTTTGTAAGTCTGACATTCTTTTCCACTCATAAAAGCTTTGCTTTTAGCCAGTTTGCATTTCCTCTACCTTTCTAGGTTACTCCTGGATGGGGCACCTCTGATCGCCATTCACAAAGCCAGGTATTACAAGAGGAAGGACGGCCTAGCCCTAGGTCCTGGGCCATTTGTGACTGCTTTGGAGTATGCCACAGACACCCAAGCCACAGTTGTAGGAAAGCCAGAGAAGACATTCTTTTTGGAAGCACTGCGGGACACCGGCTGCGAGCCTGAAGAGGCCGTCATGATAGGAGACGTAAGTGGAAGAGCCTAGTGGGAGCCCTGAGCTCGCCTGTCCTCGGGAGTCAGCTCTGGAGCAGTGCTCTGGGGAAGCTGACTTCCCGTTCCTGTTAGCAGAGATGACAGTAAGTGGCCAATCTGTAAAACAGGCTCTCCCCTAGATGCTTAGCTATGTACTTCTAAAGAACTGGAATTCTGATTATCTGTGACAGTTCTCCAGAATGTGATGGGACATATACAATTCAAGAAGCCATTTATGTTGCAACTCAACTAAATGCTTTATATGCTTTTGTAAAGAAAACTCATACACAGTTCTAGTTTTTTTTTAATTGTACTTGGGCAGAGAATAATCTGTACCTAAACAGTTGTACCACTATTGATTTTTGTTCTTAGCATATGCTTTATGGAAGAACTTCCCGATCAGTGTGCCACAAATAGCTAAAGGTATTGATCACCTTGGTGTTTGAGTGACAGGCATGCACCTGGGACCATTAGGGGAGCTGCTGAGCCCTCATGGCTGTGAGCACCTTGTCAACTTACCCCAACATCTGAAGAAAACGCCATTTCCTGCGGTGCCACACTAGGAGGCAGAATTCATGGCAGAGTGGGAGGAAGGAAGAGCAAGAAACTGCTGTGTTCAGGATTTGCAGGGCTGTTTATTATCCAACAAAGTGGCTGTTTTTCCTTCCATTTTCCCTTCTTCCCCCATTCATCCCCATCACCACTTCAATAAGGCAAGTTTATCTACGGGAGGTAAGACTTTACTTACATTACAGCTTCTGTGGAGATTTTACATTCATTTTTAAGAGGTTTTGGTGAACAATATTTTGGGGAAAAAAGAACTATCTTTTTAAAGATTTATTTGTTTGAAAGGCAGAGTTACAGAGAAGGAGAGACAGAGATCTTCCACCCACTGATTCACTCCCAAAGTGACTAGTAAAACCAGGCTGGAGCCAGGAGCCCAAAGCTCCCTCCAGGTCTCTCACATGGCTGGCAGAGCCCAGACACTCAGGCCATCCTTCACTGACTCCCAGGAGTGTTAGCAGGGAGCCAGATCAGATGTGGGGCACCCATGAGCGAGCACCCAAACAGGATGCTTGCGTCGCTTGCAGTCAGTTTACTATGCCACCATGCAAGTTCACTTATTTTTATTTTTTTAAGGAATTTACTAATACATTTGATTCTTAAGGTCACAACAAATGCATAATAATTACTATACCACAATTCTCATTTTTGTGGTAATGTGGCATTAATAAAAAAAAACCAGATTCCATGTAATTTATAGTTATAATAATATAGTATTTTCCTTCCTCTCACTTATCTTCCTTTCTTAATTTCCGAGATAACATTTTTAATTTACATTACAGTTAAAGGCTTAATGCTCCACTAAATAAAGAGTGCAGCAAGTAAAAAAAAAGTTGTAATTTAGTGAGGATTAGGCAAGGGCTAAAAACAATAATCAAATGAAAAGATTCTCTTTCACTCATACAGTGAATTTTTAAATAATCACCTCTAAAATTATACTTATAGAATGTCATTCTTAACCATTGATTTGACCGAAAAATAAGTTTGACAAAAGTAAATTTACAGCTGTTCTGATACACACATTATTTTGTATATTTTGCTTTTTTTCTTTTTATCTCCCACATATAAGGGAGAACATAAAGTATTTGTCCTTTTCATCAATGTGGTATCTTCCAGTTGCATCCATTTTTATTGAAATGGTAGAATTTCATTCTTTTTCACAGCTGAATAGTATTCATGGTGGTCAGTATTAATGGCATGGTCTGAATCCTGCTCACAGACATGAGATGGCAGATTTAACTGATGTTTTTTCTAGACCTTGGATTTTTAATTGCCATGCATTCATCATCACAGTCAACCAATTATATTTATCCTTGTTTTGAGAGAAATTAGAAAGAGGAACCCCTGGAATCTCGAGTGGTGTCAGGATTCAAACCCATGTTCTCTAGTGGGAGTTTTTGGCATCCTTAGTGGTCAGTTAGGCACTAGGCCAAATTCACACACTAAGTATACTAATTTGACTTAATTCTGCTTGTGAAAATTAAGTGGAAAATAAGGATAGCAGATTGTGCAGGACACAAATCTTCTAACTCTTATTCATTCACTGTGTGCACCTGGAAAGTTGCTAAATGCATCAAATGCATTTTTCCATGATCTGCCTTAGAGCAGATGGATGAACCTGTGACAAAGCATGGACACTTGTAACTCTGCTGTTTGGTCACTAGGATGACTGCTCTGTTATAGTCCTCCCTGCTTTGCTTGTCTGATTTGAGAGAGATTCAAAGCATCGTATTAAAGTAGTGGGCTGTCCCAGTCTGAGAAATCACATCGGTCAGTTGGAGCTGCTGGCAGTACCGAAGATGTTGGACTAACTGCCTCCTTGGTGCCTTTGTAGGATTGTCGGGATGATGTTGGCGGGGCTCAAGGTGCTGGCATGCTGGGCATCTTGGTGAAAACAGGTACGTGTCTCCTAGGATGATTCTTTCTCAGTCAGAGGGGTAGCATACACAGCTGCTTCAAGATGATCTTTGTAGAAACAGCAGAACCTTGGGCACTTGATTCTCTTTCAGGGACAAAGCAAAAATACTGTAAAGCTTTGGCTCACAGGGAGGAAGACAGTGGGGGTGAGCCGTTGCTGTGGCAGGCCTAGCAAGCTCAAGATGCAGAGGTTTCCCTGTCTGGGTGACAGGCAGTGTCTGCAGGATGTCCTGAGGGTGCAGGTCACTGCACCAGAAAGAAACCAAGGGCCTTGCACTGTGGTGCAGCATATAAATACCTTTGATTTGTTTGCCAGCAGTCGATGCTTGGGCTGCTCTCTTTAGAAACTGGCCAGCTTAGGGATCTGATCCTTTGTACTAATGTCTACATGTTTTAAAAAATACACAAGATCCCCCCTCTTTTTAAAGATTTATTTATTTGAAAGGCGAAGTTAGAGTGATACACACAGAATCTTCTATTTTTGCTGTACTCTCCAAATTGCAACCACTGCTATGATCTCTCAAATAAATTTAGAGCAAAAGAAAGACCTTCCTGAGGAGGATTTAGCTGCTCAGTGTCATGACTGCATGGACTCTGTGTCCTGGGTGCTGAGTTGCTGTGTGAAATATTGGTGAAGACTCTGTCCCTCCTTGGGCCCTCTGGGAATGACAGGGTTAGATGTTCCTGCTGCCTCTGATGGGAATGATGAGGTCCCCTCAAGGTGAGGAAAGAGCAGGTGTGAGAGCTGTGAGTGGGGTCAGATAGTTGCATTAGGAACTTAATGAGCTGGATTTAATGAAAAGGTCTTTCTGCCACCAAGTGGCACCTGCTGAATTAGAGTGCATGGTGAGCGGAAATCTTGCTCAAGAGTTTGTCATCAGGCTGTTACACATCATACAAAATGGTTCCATAGATGTGTCTATGAGTTCATTTTCATTCAGTGGTAAATAGGCTCTTCTCAAAAGGGAAAATTTAAACATAAGTCACCAAAGTGTTACCACAGGGAAAGGTTTTAGAAAAAATGACTATGGTGTTGACTCATGAAGATGTGACTTCAGAAAAGCTATTTTCGATTTAAAAATAGAAGCAAGAGGCTGTAGATGAAGCTACAGTTATATTTGGCAAGGCTCTGGGCAAAGAGTGAAGGAACCGCCTGTCTGCTCATTCCTGGGGTCTGGAGGGAACCACTGGGGCCTCCTGATACTGACACCAGTCACCCAGGAACTAGCAAGCAGAGTTTCTGTCTCTGCAGTAAAATGATCATCACCTTCCCAGGAACATTACAACCCTGGGATGTAAGCAAAAATGGAAGCAGCATGAAATGAAGCCAAGAAAAATGGCCATACTCATCATCCTGCTCCAGATCTTTATAATTCCTGCTTTTTGTAGTTTCATTTTCTTACTAAGGAAATCCTGCGATAATTGCTTTTTTTCTTGTATAGTACTCCTATAAGCCATTGAGTTTACTCACATGATTAAGGATTTACACTAAGTGTCAAGACTGGACCAGGCAGTGGTTGGTTGGCCCATTCCTACCCTCCAGTTGCCCTTCCTTTCCTGCACCCCTGGGCTGGTCTCTGTCGGCTCTGGGTTGTTTTGTTTTGTTTTTAAGAAAGAAAAAGAGGAAAAGAAGGGAGGGAGGGAGGGAGGGAGGGAGGGAGGGAGGGAGGGAAAAAGAAAGGGAAAGGAAGGAAGATAGATCTTCCTTCTGTCGGTTCACTCCTCAAATGGCCAGAACAGCTAAGGGCTGGGCAAAGCCAAAGCTAGGAGTAGGAACTCCGTCCAGGCCTGCGATAAGGATGAAGGAGCCCAAACACTTGGGCCATCTTTGATGCTTTCTTTTGTGGCACTGGATCAGACTGGAGTAGCCAGGATTCAAACCAGTGCTCATTTGGAATGCTGGCACTGTAGGCAACAGTTTAACCTTCTGCACAATGTGTGCTGCTGTCTGCCTGACACTTGGCTGTGAGCATATATCACAACCTTAGGTTAGTCTGAGAGCAGTCAACAGCAGCATACTCTGAGATCTCAGAGTATCCCAGCAGGCAGGTTAGTCCAGCTCAGGAAGCAGGCCAGTTTGTACCACTGATCTTTGATTAGAAGAATCCAGTGGTCTAACAGGCAAATAAAGACATTGCTTAGCCAGGGCCACTGGACTCAGGAGTTGGCAGTATAGCAGTAGTTAGTCATTAACTTACCTATGAAAGCAAGTAGAGACCTTGCAAAGAGTTTATGCTTGTTAAGATCTCTGTTCAGAGAAATGTGGCAGTGAAGTCTGTCGTGTGGACCACACTGGACAGATGCGTTCAAGGGGCCGGGAGGAGTGAAGGCTGAGTAATCACGGAAGCATCTTTACCTCCACAGCACATAGACATGGGACAGGCAGATTCAGGCTTTGTGCCTGGAGGACACAGCCTCTTAAAAGAGGTTACAACATGGTGGGTCTGTCATAGTGAGGGGGAGCTGGAGTGAGGTGGAAGAAAACTGCAGAAAGAGTAGATAGCTGAGGTAACAGCAGGAGAAAAGAGAAATGCAGAGGCAGCCCTGGGGCAGAGTCCTGTGTTCCATCATCCTTACCCTCCCTTCCTTTACAACAGGGTGCTCACCATGTTAGGTGGCAGGAAAACCCTGGGGCATGTAACAGACATAACCCTTGCTGTCACAGAATTCAGTCATCCTGGATTCCAGACATGTTTGAAGGGCGGCAGACATGCAGAGAACAGGTGCATGGAGAGGATAGCAGTGGGTAGATGTGGCTTGCATGGGGAGGAAAGAGCTGAGCTATGAAGGAGACTGTGAGAAGGGTCCAGCTGGGATGAGGATCCTCAGGAGAGCCAGGTCTCCTCCAGGTTAGAGCTGAGTACATAGAGTGGGAGCAGCCCCTGACAAAGGGCCTGGGAGCCTGTCACGGAGATGTGGATTCTTCCTGAAGGGACCCATTGTAGGTGTTGACGTCAGGACCATGCCCACTGTGAAATGGTGCTTCTTGCTGTTGTGGCCAGGATAGGAAGATTTGGGCAGTTGTCCCATCTGGCCCCAGGCATCTGTCACCTTACCCTCCCACCCCCAGGCACTGTCACTTGCTAGACTGCTAGGGTCCCTGCTTGGCTACAGCCTTGCCACCTCCTGTCACCCTCCTGAGCTGAGGGAGGCCTATGCCCTCTGGAATCCCAGGTTTCCATTGAAAAGTAGTGAGTCACCATTCCTGTCTTTAGAGCCGGCCGGGTATGAGAAGGAAATGATTTCATCACCTGTGAAGATGTGAAGGCACCCATGGCTGTGACCCAGTGCCTGTGACTCCACTGGACATCCTGGGGAGAAGCGCCTCATCGTAGCAGTTAGGGTAGATGCAGAGCCCCGAAGCTCTCCAGACTGTGAGGGTTCTTCCATGGTGGTCTGGGTGCTCGTGGGCTGTGAGTGATTGAATATTCTACCTAGAGCCTTTGTTCACTGGCTGTCTTCTTATTCCAGGGAAATACCGAGCAGCAGATGAAGAAAAAATTAGCCCTCCTCCTTACTTAACTTGTGAGAGCTTCCCTCATGCCGTGGAGCACATCCTGCAGCACCTGCTCTAAACCCCGGGGACTGGGAACCACACTCCATACAACCTTCCTCTCCTCACCCATCAAGGCCAGCACCACTCAGTGCTGGGCGAGCTCCACCCTCTCCTATTGTGGAGTCTTTGTAAAGAAAGGTATTGCATTGCAGCCAGCCACGAAGCTAATCTCTTTTGTTTTATTTTGTAAAAGAAGAGGAGACACCAAGAAAGGGAAAGCTGAGATTTTGTGCCATCCTTTTCAAATATTCATTACGCTTGGATGGCTGAGAGTGGAGAGCCTCTGTGAGGAAAGGGGTTTGCTGATGGAGTGGGAGGGGGCTTGGGCTGTGAGCAGTGTTGACTGGTGGCTTCTCAGTGATAAAGGAGTGTGCTGAAAGGCACATTTTTCTGTCCTTTGGAGATTGAGTTCCACTGTGAAATCTATCAGCAGTGCCAAGTGAGGACAGGACTGGAGCAGAACACATTGTCCTGAGCCCAAGTGGTCCAGTGAGTTTGTTTTAACAGATGTTGAAAACTATATTTTCTCTGCATTCCCAGCAGATGACTTCTTTTTCTCTTCATTAGCCAGAGATGACTAATTTAAATTTAGAACCTGATTTTAATTTAAAATAATATTTCCATTAATAACCTATTCATTGCAGATACCTATTATCGTGTGTAACAGTTGTTTTGGAAATTTTATGTAAAATTAAAACTATCAGTATTTTACAGATGTTTTAATTAGACATTGTTATTAACAGGAACAGTGCAGAAACTAAAATCAAGCCTTTAATGTCTTATAGACCATGCATTTTTGAAGTTAGTGTACACTAGGGTCCTATTAACTGTACATTTGCAAGATTTCATTATTTTTGCCTCTGACACTAGGGGAGAAATCTTTTAGAAGCTATTGGGACAGATTCGAGCTTTTATGTACTTGGATACTACAGCTGTAAAATGAAATCTCGTCTTGTAGTGTAGATTATTCTTCTCATGTTAAACCCAGCAAAATGAAGAGGCCTAAGTAAGTAATGATTTTCCTGGTGCATTTGCATACCGTGATAATCCTGGGCCTTGGCAGTTGTTTTACGGGGCTCTTGGGCATTGAATTATTAGAATGTAATTGTACATCATTGTAGTGTTCACCTTATTGAAGCTCATACGGATGTTAATGAGCTTTGGGTTCTGATGCTTGTTTAGAAACCAGCTTGGACTTGAATAGAAAGGAGCAAAGCTAAATAAATGGTAGTTGAGTGAGCACTGTATTCTCATTTTTGTTAGTCCTTGACCATCCTAGAAGGCAGATGGCAGGTGCCATATGACTACCACCCCAAATCGGAAACAGAGGCTCTGGAGCCTAGGCAGCTGTGCGTTGGTGCTCTGACCTCAGGCAAATTACTTTGCTGTCTGTGTCCACACTGGAGCTCTGACAGTGCCCCCAGCAAGAGTTGCTGGGAGCACTGGGCTCATCAACCATACACTAAGGATGTGGAAGAGAACTGAGCAGATGGCAAGTGACCATGGCATGGCTCAGGCAAAACTGTCCAGGTTTAAGAGGAGAAACAGAGCAGGTGGTACTAACCTCCATGGTCAGCTCTGGAGAAAGTTTAACTGAGGCTGCACTGTAGTTGGGCTGCCAGAGGACAAGGCATTTGGCATAACAGGCAGAGGACACTGGCCATGGCCAGGTGCCTGGTGCCTAGACCACGCTCAGTCCACCTGGTGATTGGCCAGCTACTTGGGCCCCTCCATCAGTGATTTCATGTGTTGGCTGGCAGCAACACGTTAACCTGATGACTGTGGGAAATAAGTAAATAAGAAAAGTTTTGTCCTGTGAACTCTTTCTTGCTGAGAGCCAAGGAGAATGCATGAGATGCTACTTAGGAACCCTGTGAAAATGACTCAAGTGCCCAGCCTCTGGCATCTTTCTGTCTGCAGGAGGGGCAAGATGTTCCTCCTTGCTGCAGGGCACTTGCTAGGCTGTACTTGCCTTCACATCCTCTCCTTCCCACCAACAGAACTGTGCCCCGTTCTTTTAATATCTGCTGCATTACAGATAGGCACTCAGATAGTTATTAAACCAGTAAAAACTAAATATAACGAGTTTAATGCTAGAAGGGATAGCTGTGGATAGGAAAGAGAAAATGCCTAGTTTTGGAACTGGTGCCTTCAAGCTGCCAACAGGGAGGCCCTGGTAGACTCAAGTCCCTGCCACTCATGGGGAAGACCAAACTGAAATCCTGGCTCCTGGCTTCAGCCTGGCATAGCCCAGGCTGTTGCATTTGGAAAGTGAACCAGCAGATAGAAGAGCTGTCTCTGTATCTGCCTTTCAAATAAAATGAAAAAAATAAATAAGGTGGGTTTTTTTTTTTTGTTTTTCAAAGACCCAAGGTTTCACAGCACCAGGTAGGCATGTGAAGCAGAGTAGGAAAGACAGGAATTAGCTAACCATTGGTGAATGGAATGGTTGGCACCCTAGGATCACTGTCTACCCTGGGTAGCCAGAGAGCCAGCCCCAGCCACAGTCAGAGGGTGGGAAGGCCAGTGTTCTCAAGGAAGACGGAGCCCTGCAGAGTAAGGTGTGGGGATAGTGGTCATAGTGGAGGGCCAAGGGGAGGTGTGGAGCTGAAATCATAGATTGGGTGACAGTTTTGCTTAAGAGAGCAGTCCCAGGGGCCCCATCCCCTGGGAACGTCAGGGACAGAGGCTGGGATGGGAACAGAAAGTTTATCTGGCCTGACTGGAGGAATGGTCTTGCTGAGTCCCTGACAGATCTGAAAATGTACTGCAAAAGTAAAGAAAAATTCCTTAGGAAAACTTTTCTAAATAAGGAACGCTACAGGAAATTGTTCACCAAAATTTTATGAAATTTTAACAGTGAGAAAAAAATTCTCCATTGTGAAATACATACAATTGAAATCTTAAGTTTTTTGTTGACATCTGTCATGAAAAATGAATGAAAATATCTCAGATTTCCAAAATAAGGCAGCTGTCCAAAGTAATGCTGTTTTCAAGAGCAGCCAAGGTTAGATGGGGGAAAAATGATTTCAGACAGACTCAAACTCCTTCTGCCAGGCCAAATATTTCTGAGTCAGATTCTTTGCTGAAGGCTTGGTGTGTGCCAGGACATCCAGAAAGTCAGCAGTGGTCACCGTGTCCAACTTGATCCCAGCTAAATTGCTGTTCTCTAGACAAAAACACAATGGGAATTGTGCAACCATCGACCTTCTAGTGATCAATGCGCCTGAAATGCTAATAGACCTTCCTTCAAGACGATGCATAATGCAGCATTCTTAATGGTTCTTGCAGCAGGGGGCAAGACTGAAGAGGGCTGGGAGAAACTCGCTAATGTACAGCTGAGTTAGCCCCTGAAACCCAAACCCTGTGAGTTCATTGTACTCACTATCACAGCTGAGTTAGCCCCTGAGACCCAAACCCTGTGAGTTCATTGTACTCACTATCACAGCTGAGTTAGCCCCTGAAACCCAAACCCTGTGAGTTCATTGTACTCACTATCACAGCTGAGTTAGCCCCTGAGACCCAAACCCTGTGAGTTCATTGTACTCACTATCACAGTATTATTTAATATTTATATAGCGCCTCAGATGGGTCCAGCCAATAGCAGAGTGTGCCAGATAAATAGAAAGCCTAGCCCCAAGGAGAGTCTCCTTGGTGGGCAAAGTGAGGAAGGAGCTTCATGTGCAGAGGGATGATCTGCCCAAAGAACTTGTTGCCGCTGTGAAGGGCTACCAAACGCAGGTGCCAGGCTCCACCTGCTGGTGAGAGTCAAGAGTTTTCAACACAGATTTTCCCAGAACCACTACTTGGTACTGCCAGCCATACCTGCCTGGTGATTTTCAAGAGCACTGAAGATCTTCCGCACTGGCCGCATGGCTGCCTCCCTGCACACCAGCTTGATGTCCGATCCTGAGTAGCCCTCAGTCTCCTAAAACAGCCACAGCCCAGTCACCGCTCAGCACGCAGGTTGCGGGAGGCCCTCACATCATCATGGGCAGAACCTGGGATCAGCACCTGGGCTTACATCCTATCCCTGTCCTCCATGAAGCGTGCAGAGGTTCCCAGATACACAGTGTTTCAGGAAGCCAAGCTCTAACATAGCGGGGTCGCCTAAGTAGCCGAGAAGCAAGTGCCTACCACCACCCAAACTGTAAGATACTGGTAAGTGACTGTGGTTCCTGGTGTCCAGCTCCAAGGAGGGTCCAACTGGTGGGCATGTCAATCCTTGTAAATAAAGGTCGTGCCTGCCTCTCAAGTACTGCAGAGGAAATCAGAGCAGAGGATGGAGCTGCCTAGTTTTTGTGTTTTCAAAAAACTGATTGTGGCTTATCTGCTACCAATTTTGCATATGGAGAAGCTCAGGCTCTGAGAGTGAGAGACTTCCCTGAGGTCTCAGGGCTGCTCAGTGTCAGGGCCAGGCCATGGTTTAGCCATTGGTGCTCTGAATCTAACCCTCACTCTATCCCTGCTAACTCAGGTGTTTCTGCGTGAATGTTGCCGAGTGCCAAGGTGTCCATTCCTTCCCAAAAAGGAAGCCCATGACCTTGCTGGGGCACCTGGATTGGCAAATGTATGCACGAAGTGGCTCCTGAAAGCTGTTTTCAGGCCCCGTAGCTTGTAGCACCCCACTCCTACCCCGGGGCAGCTTGCCTGGCCCAGCACACTGTACTCAAGCTCCGTGCGCAGCTCCAGGGCTCTGTTCTCGCTCACGGGTGGCAGCCAGTGGTGGATCATGGCCTGTCTGGCCTCCCGGCTGGGGAGATCCACCAGAATCCTCTTCTCCAGGCGGCGTAACATGGCACAGTCCAGCTCCCTGAAATGAGAGCCAAACATCAGAGGACTAGGTGGGGCAGCGGCACACTGCAGAAGCATCGACTGTGCTGGAAGAACCTTTCAGCTTAGCAGGAAGCAATTTAGCTGTCACTCCACATCTGTGTCTAGGTGGAGAGGAGGATCATTCTGTACACTGGAAGAAAGGACTGGAGGGAGAGAAGAGGCAGGCAGGGCTAAAATACTGGGGGAGAAACAAGAAAACAGCCAAATACAAGAGCATTCTTCCTGCCTTCATCACCAGGGCAGTTTGCTAAGTCTGACTTACCACCCTTGTCACCAGTAAGCATATGAGCCTTCCCCTTCAATCTCTCTGTTAAAACTCCAAGCTCTTAAAGGGGCAGAAACCATCTGTTTGAGTTTCTAGTAGAGTAATTAGGAGATGCCTCAAGGTGATGATGCAGTTCTCACTCATAGAAACACTGAGACTGTCTGAAGTGTCCACTCAGTTTTCTTATCCTCACTTTTAATCTGTCCATGTTTCCTTTTAAATTGAAAGTGGGAACATACTAATAAGAAACAGATCTGAATCCCAAATCCAAGTGAGCTGATGTCATCAAAGACTGTCCTATGGTTCCTCTGGCTTCTGGTTGGCAGTCCAGTCCATGGTCCTGGGGTGACTATGTTGTGTGTGTTTTAAGATTTATTTATTTTTATTGCAAAGTCAGATATACTGAGAGAGGAGGAGAGACAGAGAGAAAGATCTTCCAACCAGTGATTCACTCCCAAAGTGACTGTAACAGCAGGTGCTGTGTCCATCTGGAGCCAGGAGCCAGGAACTTCCTCCAGGTCTCCCATGAAGGTTCAGGAACCCAAGGCTTTGGGCCATCCTCGACTGCTTTCCCAGGCCAAAAGCAAGGAGCTGGATGGGAAGTGGAGCTGCCAGGATTAGAACTGGTGCCTATATGGGATCCTGGTACATTCAAGGCAAGAACTTTAGCCACAGCACCGGGTCCAACAGACTATGATAACAATGATTTGCATTTGCTTTGTTCTTTGCCAGTCATACCCTGTTGAGATTCCACTGTCTGCCCCCATGCACAACTCATCCCCCCTCTGAAGGTCACCACATATATTCAAGGAAGAGTCCTGGATAAGAAACCATTTGCAGGCCTGGCACGATAGGCTAGTGGATAAAGTCCTCACCTTGCATACTTGCATGTGCCAGGATCCCATATGGTTGCCAGTTTGTGTCCCAGCTGCCTCACTTCCATCCAGCTCCCTGCTTGTGGCCTGAGAAGGCAGTTGAAGATGGCCCAAAGCCTCGGGACCCTCGGGGAGACCTGGAAGAAGCTCCTGTCTCTTGGCTTCAGATTGGCTCAGCTCTGGCTGTTGCGGCCACTTGGGGAGTGAAACAGTAGATGAAAGATCTTTCTCTCTGTACCTCCTTCTCTGTATATCTGCCTTTCCAATAAAAATAAACAAATACATAGATCTTTTTTAAAAAGAAAGAAAAGAAAAGCTAACTGCACTTCCCAGCAGCTGCTGCTTTCCCTGGCTGTCCAGTCCAAGTCAGCTCATCTTTGCTCAGCTGGTTTCCTCTTTACTCACAGGCTCCATGCTGAGATGATGCCTGCAGCAGGTGCCACCTCTTCTCATTGGTCAGGGCCCTGGACTCACCAGTTCCATATCTGAAATATCATCCCTGCATATAATTATCAAAGACACTTTGCCTTTCGTACCTAAGGGCCGTTCTGACAGAAGGTAGTTTGTGTTGAAACAAAATATTAAAACAAGACACTTTATGAGTTTTAGAGTTGTTGAGGAATGATCACATTCTCCTCTGTTTATTCCCCAAACCCTTCTGCAACACCACTGCTGGGTGGTGGTGGCTGTTTAATGGCATAAATCTACAAAGCAAAGGGAATAGAAGAACTGATAATAAGAAAAGTTTAAAAGCTGGACAGCACAGTGAGGAGTTGAAAACTAACTTACCAAACCCAAGAAGCTCCTTACTAAGTTAACAATGAAGAAATGCTCAGGGGGCAGGAGCTGTGCTGTAGTATAGTGGAGAAATCCACCACCTGTGATGCCAGCATATCAGAGAATGAACAGTTCAATGTGGAGCTGGTAAGAAGGTTCTGGAACACAAAATCTGTATGGTGTGTCCAAATGTGCTGAGCACTGCTGAGACAGTCGTGAAGGATGTTTGCCTGTGTTAGGAGGAGAGGTGGAGGAGAGAAGGAAAGAAGAAAAGGAGGGGAAGATAAAAGCGAGACCATGAACGTTCACCTTTTAGGAATTCAGCTCAACATATGGGTATTTGCCACCACCTGCCATGGATGCTGTCACTGCCAAACCTCCAAGGTACAGAAACGAGTCAAAACAACTCCTTCCTTGTGGAAGCTGCAGCAGTGTTGGCCCCACGCCCAGAGACCAAGGAAGGAGAGAAAACGACTCATGGAATGGACACGGCAGGGCTGCAAGAGCAGCTTCTACTGTCTCCCAAGGCAGCCCCTCCCAAAAGGCAGGATTCTTCAGTAGGGGTGTCTGCTTGTCACCGTCCCTTCTGGAGGGACATGCTACTGAGGAGAAGCCAGGGTGGCTGGGATGAGGGGTGGTACAGAAGGAGGTGGGAAAACAATCCTTCTCTGTGGATGTCTATTGATCAGCTAAAGCAAGAGATTCACCTCAAAACTGCTTGTGGGCGCAAAATAAGTGCAACTCTCTGACAGCCAGGCCTGATGAATGCCCTTTTAATGGCATCAATAATAATATAATCAAACAAAGGAGGAAACAGGGGACAAATGGAATATACCCAAGAATCATTCTTTATGTCAATATATTTATACAAAAAAAATTTTTAACCTGTGGCAACCAGCAGAGACTCCCCTTAGCTCCTGCATTTGGATCTTTAAACCTGGTTACTCTGTTCTCAGATCACCTTTCTTTGGGGCTGTTTGGCACCTTCCATCACTTCAGAGGCCAAAACGCCCAGCAAGTGTGGGACAGGTAAGACACAAAAAGAGAGAAAGCTCCCAGACCTTGGAGCCTGGCCTGCTGCCAGGGGGAGGGTACAGCGCCCACTGGCCACCTGGAGGGCTTACATGTACTCCACAGCCTTGCACCTGACTGCCCAAACCTCCAGTTTCTCCCTTAAGACCTTGTGGTTCTAAGAACAGAGACCACTTGAGATTTTATAGAATTTGGAAGGTAAATGTAATTTATTTGTTTTTTGAATAGTTCTCAGCATGGTAAGAGGAAAGCACACTACAGCCCATCCACTGCACCCACTGTGGACTGACTGGGCCCGATGACTGTTGCAGAGTGGATGGTAGAGCTGTAAGACGGGGGTAACGGAGGGTGTGAATGGAGTACCTGTGAATACAACACTGAAGGTTCCTCTGTCTTCCTTAGAGAGCTCCACCATGGCAGACCAAAACCTACACAGTGCCATGTGCATAAGCTAGTCTCAGCATTCCCTGAATCTACTCTTGACCATCCGCATTGTTTCCACTCAGGTCATTTCTTTACAAGATCTTCCCCTTGTGTCTATCAGAAGTCAGGCCACTTTCACAGGTCCATATCAAGTGCTACAGGCTCTTCAAAGGCCTAGTCTGGGTTTGTTTTCATATCTGTCATTCAATTGCCTCCCCCCTCTATATGAAGCAACTTCCCAAAACTCATGGAAAAAGCACATCTAGACAGACTCATTGTGGTACAAAATGTTTTTATTATACTATGAAGTTTTTGAAGATCCCTCATGTAATTCTATCCTCTTAACACCATTATTGTTTTATATTTGAATGGCACAGTAATAGAGACAGACCTTTCATTTACTGGTTCATTCCTACAAATGCCCACAACAGATCAGGTTAGGCCAGGCCAAAGCCAGGAGCCTGGAACAGAATCTAGGTGACCTGTGGAAGGACCTCCTAGAGCCCAGCAATGCATGTGATCACAGTGAAAGCTTGCTAATCGTTGCTATGGAACTGTCTCTACACAGAGGAGGGAGTCCATATGGGAAGAAGTTGGTGTACACGGGCAAATTAGCATGTCCCCTGGGCTGGGGCAAATGTGGCTGAAAAATTATTAAAGTAGAAGACATGGGGCCATGCACTGGGGACACACTTTTGGTGTGAGCTTTTTTTTCCCCTCCCCTACCACACCCTCTTTAAAATCAAGCAAGACCAGTGTGATGGTCTCTGGGCTTTTGCACTGTCTTCTAAACGTCAGAACAGTTTTTAGTTTTTCCATCAGTCACAGGAATTCCAGGTGTCTGACAGTTAATAGGGTTCCTGGAACTGCTGGCCCTTTTGAAAACAGCAAGGCACCAAGAGTTTCAGCCTGTTTCCCATATCCCTCTTTACACCTTCTACAAACTTGCACAGAGCTCAATAGCAGTGGGAAGATGGCATTTGCGCTAAGGGCCCTGCTCAATCTCTTGGTTCTCCCTGGCCTCTCAGACCCAAGTTGGTGTACACCCAGCAATTGCAGTGGGTCAGCTGGGCCCTGTTTGTGTTCACTCAAGTCATATGTGTCTGTTACTCTAGGAGGTGATAGTAAAGACCAGACACCTTTTGATCTACTCTTTGCTTATTTATACACACGACAAACGAGCTCTTGTTTCTTGCTTCCTGCCTGCCCTCTTGGAGATACTAGAAACCAGAGGAGGTGCTCTTGGCGGGAGAGTGCTGAATGGAAAAAGACAGCAGGCCACTCCCTGCTGGACAGGGAGGAAATGACTGCCCCTTTGAGACAGAATGGGAATGCGCTAGGTTCACAGGCAGTAAAGGGGAGCCTGCAGCCCTGAAGTTGTTGTCAGTAAGAATTACACTAACCACAATGATTTCTTTGCATCCAGTCATCATTAGTTAGGTATGGTTCTGTTATTTCCCTGGAAAAAAAGGGGACTGCTTGGATCAGATGTTTGCTGCCTCGTGTGTAACTGTAAAGCCAAGAGAAAGATCTGGCCAAATCTTGAGAAAAATACTCTTTCCTCACAGGACATTAGCACCATATACTGAGGGACTTAAAAGCCCA